CCTAAAGTAACTTGGCCAGCATTACTCTCTGTAATATACTGATCAGTGCTATTATCCATGTTTCACTATATGTCTGATATATGGACGTAGGATTAGATCAAAGGGCCCATTTAATGGCAAATGAAGTATGGCAGTGGGTACATGAGCATGGGACCCACTAATTCCTTTCATATGCAGTACTATCTAAACGTAACCAGCCTGACAGAGTGGTGGATTTGTGTCTTAAAAATACAGTTACACTCGAGCAGAGAGATGATAATGCACACTTTAAAGTGTAGTCTGTATGTTTAAAAAAAGGGGCACTACATGATTCTGTGTCCCAAAAAGGTAGAATACATGATTTAGGACTACAAAGTGGAAGTAGTAGTGTGCCTACTATTATCACAGTGTATAATTTGGGGGGGTATTTGCTTTCATTATCTAGCACTTTATGCTCTGGTTCCCTGTGGGAAGGAACACAGTAAAATTTCCACTAAACTTTTGTCTCTTTGTGACAATAGAGCAGCAGGCAAAAAATTTCCACTTTGGCAGGGAAATGTTGAACAGTGAGGACAGAAAGGCAAATATTTGACATTCAGATGATTTCTTTGGGCTTTTCTTAAAATTTCCACACCTACTTTTAACTGTAAATGGGAAAATACAGCAAGTGTGGCTTGATATTAAAAAACAAAAAACAAACAAACAAAAAAAACCACCAATTGCCTTTCGGTTATTGCGTTACCTCCCCTGGAATCATCTGGGAGGTACTCCCTGATTCTATCTTCCAGGGAAGACCTTCAGCCAAAGACTGATTGGTTCATGGGTACAGAAGTCTAGGTCCTTAGCCTCAAGGTGGGAAAGACTTAGGCACAATGTACAAGCCAGAGTTCCCTCAGGGGATCAGACCTGAGGTTACACATTACCTGAAATGAAATCTCCTGTAGTTTCCTCTCTCTCTCTGTATCCTTACTCTGTCATTAGCTTATAGGTTTTTCCTAAGAGTGCTCCCTCAGTAAATCACTTATAAAAGTATCTTCCTTTCAGACATTGTTTCTGGGGAACCCAACCAAAGACACTATCCAAGTCTAATTTGTACAATAGAAAGATGAATTGCCAATGTAGATTATTGTAAAATCATAGAAATGTTTGTCTTTCAATTCCCCAAATGCTTAAACAGATTATAGGGGTTCCAGACCTTTACTAAAATATATTTTGAGAAGGCAGATGATTTGAGGAATATATAAACAGACCAATAAAAGTCTGTTTTCTAAATATGTTGAAGTTATTCTAACACTTTACAAAAAACATTCTGGTAGATCTATATGAAAAATGATATGGGGGAAAGCATCCAAAGGGATGGGATTTCTTAATCAGGAAAGCAGGTATCTGTCTGTTATTAAAATTTAAAACACAAATTTACCATTATTGTTCAGTAAATTCCCTTAAAGCCTCCCTTAACCAATCATTCTATACTCCTTGAAGATGTAGCTAATTTTCTGTATATGGTATGAAAATACAATGGTAACTCCCATAGAGAAAATGCAGTTAAAGGAAATATGTCTGGTACACTTATATCTTTGTAAGTATTAAGTTTTTGTTTAGAGAAATACTCATCCAGGAACTACTCAGGAGAACTTTCCCATCAGTCCTACCTTACAAAGAGGTAAAGATACTCCAGTATCTAGGTTTACTTGTCATATTCAGCTCAGGCTCATATGGGGACTATTTTTTCTCACCATTGCAAAATTAAAAGGTAGGATACCCTACAGCTTCAGTATCAGATTCTTATTTTCAGCATTTCTGTCTTATATATGCCATTTATCCATTTTGCTTCTTTCCTCAATTTATTTCTGATTTTGTTTTTTAAAAAGAAACTTTGAAAACAAATTTGGAATAATTTTAGATTTACAGAATAATTAAAGATACTACAGAGAGTCTCAGTATACTGCTTGCTCAGATTTTTCTAATATTTACAATCATGTTGACATGTTGTGTGCTGTGGAGTTGATCCCAACTCAGAGTGCCCCCATATGACTGTATAGAACTGCTCCACTGGGTTTTCTAGGCTGTAATCTTACAGGACAGATTGCCAGGTCTTTTCTCCCACAGAGAGGCTGTGGTATCAAGTACAGCTTTTCTGTTAGCAGAGAAGCACTTAGCATTGTGTTAAGGGTTCCTTTTATTGATATATTACGTTTAAAGTAAGAAACTGACATTGATACATTACTGTTAACTAAATTATAGATTTTATTTGGACTTCATCAGTTTTTCCGCTAATGCCCAGGATCTAATATAGGAACCACATTGCATTTAATAGTCTGTCTCCCCAGTCTCCTCTGCTCTAATAGTTTCTATCTTTCATTGTTTTTCGTAACTTTAACAGTTTGGAAGAATATTGGGCAGGTATTTTATAGAATATGATGTTTATGTCCTTTCAATAATTTTTATTTTATAGACTATTTTTTTAGATTAGTTTTAGAATTACGTAGAAATCGAACAGAAAGTACAGAGTTCCCTTATTATCTACTCCCCCACAGTCTCTTCTATTATTAACACCTTGCATTAATATGGTATATTTGTTAAAATTGAGGAACCCATATTGATACATTATTATAAGCTAAAATACTTAGTTTACATTATAATTCACCTTAAAAAATTAGTTTAGTGAAAGTATACGTAGCCAAAAATACAACATTTCTACAGCTTCTACATGGACAATTCAGTGACATTGATTACGCTCTACAAGTTGTGCTACCATATTAACTATGGATTCACTCTTTGTGTTGTTTGGGTCTATGGATTTTGATAAATGCATCATGTCATGTGTCTATTATTAAGTATCATGGAGGATAGTTTCACTGTCCAAAAAATGTCCTGTGCTCCACATATTCATCCCTTTTCCCTCTCTCTGAACTTCTGGCAATCACTGATTCATTTACTGCATATATATGTGTGTACACACACACGCACACACAAACCAAAACCAAACCCACTGCCATTGAGGTAGATTCTGACTCATAGCGACCCCATAGGGTTTCCAAGGCTGTGTAATCTTTATAGAACCAGACTTTCCTGGAATTCCTGAGTGGTGCAAACTATTAATACACTTTGCTGCTGCTAACCAAAAGGTTGGAGGTGTGAGTCCATCTAGAGGTGTCTTGGAAGAAAGGCCTGGTAATCTACTTCTGAGAAATTAGCACAATTCTTGACTGACACACACAGGATTGCCCTGAGTTAGAGTCAGCTTGATGACAGCTAGTTTAAATCCTTGGGTGGTGAAACTGTTTGTGCCTGATTACTAACCTAAAGGTTTGAAACCCACCCAGTGGCTCCATGGAAGAAAACCTGGCAGTATGCTTTTGTAAAGATCACAGCCAAGAAAATCTTATGGATGGAGCTCAGTTCTACTCTGTAACACATGGGTCTCCATGAGTTGGAATCCATTCAGTGACAGTGGGTCTCATTTTGGTTTTTATAGTTTTGCTTTTTTTAGAACGTCAAGTAGTCAGAATTACATAGTGTGTTATCTTCCAGCCTGGAATTTTCTTTCACTTAAAAATCTACACCTAAAGTTTCTCCAGGAGCTCTGGTAGCATAGTGCCTAAGGCACTTGACTGCTAACCAGAAGGCTGGTGGTTCAAACCCACCAGCCACTCCTCGGAAGGAAGGTTGGGCATTCCTACTTCCATAGTGATACTGCCTCGGAAACCCAAGGAGGGGTCGCTATGAGTCGGGCCGACTCGATGGCAAATAACAACAACAACAACAACAAAGTTTCTCCATGTCTTTTCATGGCTTCATGGCTCATGTCTTTTTATTGCTGAATAATTGCTCCATTGTTTGAATGTACCATGGTTTGTTTATCCATTTAGCTATTGAAAAACATCTTGATTGCTTCTGTGTTTTGGCAGTTATGAGTGAAGCTTCTATAAAAATTCATGTGAAGTTGTGTGGATTTAAATTTTCAATTCATTTGATTAAATACCTAGGAGTGTAATTTCTGGATTGTATGGTAAGCTTATGTTTAGCTTTGTAAGACACTGCCAAACCGTCTTTCAAAGCAGATGTGTCATTTTGTGTTCATACCAGCAATGAATGAGAGTTCCTGTTGCTCCACATCCTTGGCAGCATTTGGTATTGTTGGTGTTTTGGATTATAGCCATTTGAATAGATGTGTAGTGATACTTTATTGTTGTGTTTGTCCCTTTGCTTTTTGCATACTTTAACTATTTTTGTTTGTCACTGATGCTCTAACTCTTGCTTTTCATGTTCTTCTTTGCTTATCACTCAGGTTCACCAATCTACTGGTATTCTAATGTATTGCAATTCAGGTTTTGACTTGAAAATAGTAGTGATAGAGTCAAAAACAATATCAAATTTTGTTCAAGAATTTTCTCTGAAAAACATAGGAAACAGGCAATACATTTTATGACTGTTAGAAAAATGTTGTTGTTGTTGTTATATACTGTTGAATCGTACCCGACTCATGGCACCCCCTCCTTGGGTTTTCGAGGCAGTATCACTACAGAAGTAGATTGCCCAACCTTCCTTCTGATGAGTGGCTGGTGGGTTTGAACCGCCAGCCTTAGGCACTACGCTTACCAGAGCTCTTTGTTAGATAAACAGTTAACATAAATTTTCTTGTGCTTTATGGAATAAGCTTTACAGATGTTGCCTACCTTATTATCTCAATGAAGCCACCTAAAAAGGCATTGTAACATAGTATATGGTCTCTTCTTTCATAAGGAGTTTACAGTTCAGTTAGATGTAGATTTCTAATCCCATGTAAACCATCAGGTTGGTTTTATTTTTTTTTTGTGGAAAAACTAAGAATGGATTATATAATAAATAAATGTTAGAATTAAAAAGTTTTTTGGTAGATTTTAAATCACATGTAGTCTGAGCTATTAATTGAGATAGTAAAGACATTTTAACCATTGTTTGGATTAATTGATGTAAAATTATTATTTTTGATCTTATATTAAATTTATGTTCACTCTCAGTTGTTCTGGATTCTCTAGGAGCAGTTATCCTATATTATCCCAATAGATGAGAAACCATATATTGTCCACCTTAAGCAAAGGTAATTTATTTATTTATAGTTTCATTATATTTCTCTGAATTTGTTTACTTGTAATAAAAATGCAGCATGAAAAATAATAAATGTATTTGATAATAAAAATTTTAATTGTATCAGATGAACAACTTTTCTACTGTGAATTTATTACATTTTTTGTTCTAGTGCCACAGTTTTTGTGAGTGGGAGTTGTTGTTTGCTATCAAGTTGGCCCCGACTCATAGCGACCCCTCCTTGGGTTTCCGAGGCAGTATCACTACGGAAGTAGGATTGCCCAACCTTCCTTCCGAGGAGTGGCTGGTGGGTTTGAACCTCCAGCCTTCTGGTGAGCAGTTAGGAACAGAAAAATTAGGGGCTCACCTTCTGAAAACTGATCAATATGTGTTTAAAGACTGGTAGGATCTATATGATCAGGGCAGGATATCAAATAGGAAGTGAATCTGTAACTAATTATATCAGTTAGGGTTCCATCAGGGGGGTACGGCCATCATGAGTAATATAGAATATGAGATTTAATATAAAAATTGGGTCTTTCACTATTGTGGGAGCTGGTGATTAGTCTGTGGGAGGTTGTTGCCTCTACATCTGGTGGTAATGTGCCCTAATGCTCTATAAAATGTGTTAGCTTCTATGCATTTATAATAGTATTAGATATGCACCATCTTTCAGAGAATTGAGAAAATAATAATTGAGATAATTTCCTGTAGGGTTTAATTTCTGACAGAACCTAGTTGAGAGAACTGGGAGGAAGTAATTTGTGACTTTTAAATTTCAGTTAAATTTTGGGGTAGAACAAGGCTATATGGTATAAGGGAGAGGAAGGTTTTGAGAAACTTGAGGGAGTAAATGTAAATACCTTTTCAAAAACATTTGGCAGAGAAAAAAGAAAGAGCAGTCTTAGATGAATACCTTTTAAAGAAGAAACAAAGCTTTGGCTAAAGGGAAGTTTCTTAGAGAAGAGAGATGATAGAGAATTAATTGTGTAAGATGACAAAGAATGGCACTGAGTAAAAGAAGGGTTAATTTACTCTTTTAGAAGAGAAGAAGAATATGATAAATAGAAAGGAATTTTGAATGGTAATAAGAGAGAAAGTGAGAGAACTCACATTACATTTGAACAATTTATCAAAACTATAAAAAGTGATGGGTAGGGAATGTGTATATTGGTTTGGGGATATTACCTGGGTAATGACTATGATAGTCTAATGACCATTAGGAAAGTATACTGCAGATAATTTATATGAGAACTAATAAAAAGCAGGACTATGGCTGTGTAGAGGTGAGGATTTTTTTTTGTGTGTGGGTCAGGGTTGTATCTTTTCACCACATGTATTCAATCTGTATGCTGAGCAAATGATCTGAGAAGCTAGACTATATGAAGAAGAATGCAACATCAGGATTGGAGGAAGAGTCATAAACAGCCTGCAATGTGTAGATCATACAACCTTGCTTACTGAAAGTGAAGATGACTTGATGCACTTACTGAGGAAGATTAAAGAGTACAGTCTTCAGTATGCGTTACACCTCAACATAAAGAAAACAAAAATCCTCACAACTAGACCCATAAGCAACATCATGATAAATGGAGAAAATATTGAAGTTGTCAGAGATTTAATTTTACTTGGATCCACAGTCAACACCCATGGAGCAGCAGTCAGGAAATCAGATGTCATACTGTACTGGGAAAATCTGCGGCAAATGACCTCTTTAACGTGTTAAGAAGTCTCCACTTTGAAGACGAAGGTGTGCCTGACCCAAGCCATGGTTTAACAATCACCTCATATGCATGTGAAAGCTGGACATGAATAAGGAAGACCAAAGCAGAATTGATGCCTTTGAAATGTGCTATTGGCGAAGAATACTGAAAGTAACATGGACTGCCAAAAGAATGAATGAACCTGTCCTGGAAGGTGCAGCTGGAATGCTCCTTAGAAGTGAGAATGGCCAGACTTTGTCTCACCTGCTTTGGTCATGTTGTTAGAAGGGACCATTCCCTGGAGAAGGACATCAGGCTTGGTAAAGTAGAAGGTCAGAGGAAAAGGGGAAAACCCTCAATGAGATGGATTGACACAGTGGCTGTGATGATGGATTCTAGCTTGGCAATAATTGTGAAGATGGCTCAGGACAAGGCAGTGTTTTGGTCTGTTGTACACAGGCTCACTGTTAATCAGAATGACTAAATGGCACCTAACACCACCAAGGGTGGATGGGACACTGGTTTATGTAGACTGTTAGTCTTGTGGACTAGTTTCTCCTGAGTCTTTGGTTTCCTTCTTTCTCTTTTGCTCCAGATGAAAAGAGACCAAAAGTTATATCATAGATGACTGTTTGCAAGTTTTGTCCCCCCATTCTGATTCAGCAAGTTTTTAATGAGTGCCCACTGCAAGATATAGACATGGTGCCAGCTACCACGAGTCAGGATGAGTTACTATAATAGGCACATTATGAAAGCACATTTCAATTGACTTGATGTGGTGACAAGCACTATAAGCTAAAGATGAACAAATTGCCGTGGGAACCCAGAAGACTAGCTGATAGAATCATAGATAAGGTGGGGTATATTTCATAGTGGTGGTGATGTTCTGGTTGGGCTTTGAGAAACAAGTAGGTGTTTGATGTTATTAGGTGTCCTTGAGTCACTTCCAACTCATAGTGACCCTGTGTACAAGAGAATGAAATTCTGCTTGACTTTGTGCCATCCTATGTGTATAGCCACTATTTATGTTGTTGAAAAAGGTATTTGCAATGAATAACTGTTGGTCTTACTAAATTCTGTCATGTGTTCTCTGGTGTCATTTGTATCTCTAATGCCATATTTTCCAGCTACTGATGCTACTTCTTTATTTCCAAAACTTCTGCACTTCAATCAATAGTAATTATCAATACATCTTGATTGCATGTTTGGCCAATTTCAGACTGCAGATGTTGGTAATATCTTCTATTTCTTCATCTTTGGCATGTAAATTTGAATAATAGTTGTATTAACTGGTCTACCTTGTAGCTGTATTGATATTATCCTATCACTGATAGCATTGTTCTTCAGGATAGATCTTGAAATGTTCTTTTTGATGATGAATGCCACATCATTCTTCTTCAATTTGTTATTCTCAGATTGTCTGATTCAAAATGGTCAATACCAGTCTGTTGTAGCTCACTAATACCTAGAATATTGATCTTCATGTGTTCCATTTCATTGGTGACAATTTCTAATTTTCCTAGATTTGTGCTTCATACATTCTATGGTCCAATTATTAATGAGTGTTTGCAGCTGTTTCCCTCCCATTTTGAGTCACGCCACATCAGCAAATGAAGGTCCTGAAAGCTCTACTGCATCCACATCATTAAGGTAGACTCTACTTTGAGGAAGCAGCTCTTCCCCTGTCTTATTTTGTATGTCTTCCAACTTGAGTGGCTCATCTTGTGGTACTATATCAGACAGTGTTTCATTGCTCTTCATAAAGTTTCTAGAATTATCTCAGACAGTGTTTCACTGCTATTTATGAGGTTTTCAGTGGCCTGTTTTTTAAAAAGTAGATGACCCTGTCCTTCTTCCCAGTCTTTTTAGTCTGGAAGATCTGCTGAAACCTGTCCACCATTGGTGACCCTGCTGGTATTTGAAATAATGATGGCATGGCTTCCAGCTTCACAGCAACATGTAAGCCACCACAGTATGAGAAACTGACAGAAGAGTGTATACACACATATACATACTTTCACACATGTATAAATATATACATACGTAAGTGTATAAGCACAGATATTTTTGCTTCTTGTTGTTGCTGTTGCTGGGAAATTATATATGTCCTAGTTTTACACAAAATGTCCTTTGTGTGTGTGTGTGTGTGTGTGTGTACTTTTTAGTGACGTCATTTACCTTGGTTAAGCTGTGTGCACTTCACTCACATTCAGTGTTACTTCTCCTATTGCCATAAACAACCAGTGTCTAGTGTCTAAAGAGTAATTCCCCCTTTCCACACCTACCCATCGCAGGTAGCCAGTAATGAACATTGGTTTCGGTCTTTTATAAAAATGGGATCGTAGAATATTTGATCTTTTGTGGTTGATTTATTTCACTCAGCATAACGTCTTTCAGATTCATCCATATTATGTTTTGAGGGTTGATCATCATTCTTTATAGTTGTACAGTGTTTTGCTGTATGTATGTACCACATTTTGCTTATCCATTTATCTATTGATGTGTACTTAGGTAGTTGCTATTGTGAGTAGTACTGCAGTGAACACAGGTATGCATATGTTGTTCATGTCACTTCTACTAGGTCTCTAGGATATTTTTTCAGGAGTGGGATTGCTGGATCAAAGTTTCTAGTTTTTTTAATTATTATTTATTATTTTATTGTGATTTGGGTGAAAGCTTACAGAGCAAATTTGCTCTGTAAACGTTTCTAGTTTTTTGAGGACGTGTCATCTGGTTTTCCATAGTGGTTGTACCATATTTTTTAAATCAGTGCCATTTTAGCAGGAGTGATATAATATCTCATTGTTGTTTTGAGTTGCATCTCTCTAAAGGCTAAAGCCACCACTTCTCTGTTAGTGTGTCATACTGTGGTGGCTTGTGTATTACTGTGATGCTGGAAGCTATACTACTAGTATTTCAAATACCAGCAGGGTCACCTATAATGGACAGGTTTCAACAGAGCTTCCAGACTAAGACAGACTGGGAAGAAAGAGCATGGAAGCAGCATCTTCTGACTTCCTCCAATCTCACAAGGGAGAAACAGAGTTACTATCAATAGCCCAAGATTTATTCCTATGAGGCCAGACATGCTGCCACCCTCCAGCCTTTTTACCAATTCGGATGCCAACTATCCCTCCCGTGGGACTCACTATTTTTCTTCTGCATTCGATAACTCGTTGCAGTGGCCACGCAGAACTCACAGACAATACTCACAATTATGGGGTTTATTAGAAAAGTAACAGGCTACAATTCAGGTTCAGGAATGCACTCAGGATACAATTCTTCAATCAGGACAGTTTCCCCTTTGCTA